GAAAAAAAGAATTTTGGACCTCCCCTACTATGTAGTAATTTTTAACGAAAAATTGAGTGCAACTAAATGCGATTGTTTTATCGCTTCATATTATACAATATCGAAATAATAAAAAGCCCTACTAATAAAGAAAATAATATTGTCAATAAAGATAATAAATGTTTTTACTCTTTTGTAAATTCAAAATCCAATTGTCATCATTCAGTTGCACAACTTTTAAGTACTGACGGTTTCCTTTGTTAAAAAGGAAGTTTTTTTGCTTTTTTGTCACACCGCTGTTAAATACTCTACCCCATCAAAATTCTTTGAGTAACGTATTATTTCCCAATGATTCTGTTTTTCATTGCTACAAAATCTCCGAGCAAAGTCTCCTTAGTTTTTTCTTCGGATGATTTACCCTTCCATATTTTTAGAATCAATAGTGACTATCATTGCTATGCTCTTTCAATTTTGTTCAAAATGTCAATGACCAAAAATATTTACAAAAATTTGGAATTATTATGCCAAGTTTTTTAAAACGAGGAAAGCTTTCCCTACCAAACTCTGTACTAACCTCTGCTTTAATTTGTCAAGTATGACGAATATCTCGCTTCTTATAAATATTTTCTTCTAATTTAGTTATTTTTAAAAAAATAGTTAAATATATTTTAGATGATGTATATTAAAACGTGCAAGTTTTTTAAAAGTTATAGGGATTTTGTGTGGAACAGTATATAGTCTAGTAAAACTTATGGAATGTCGGAAATTACTGGATTATTTAAATGCATTAAATATTTTTTTCTGAATTATTGCTGCTTAAATCTCAACGCTTTTGATATCTTTTCTTAAGACAAGCTCAAAACTATTGTACCTTAGATGGCTTTTACCTCGGATCTTTTTATCTTTTTTTTGTCTTTTTTATAAAGATATTGTCTTAGACAAACGAGTGATAGTTAAAAATCCTCTGGAACTCCAGTTTTTTGAACTTCTTTGAATTCCCTAATTTTAGATAAACAGTTCTTAGATCAAAAATTGCTAGCTTCAACTACAGACTTCCTTCTATTTGTTTAAAAAAGAGTTATAAAATAAAATAAATTATTTTGTTATTAAGTTATTAACAAAACTTAATAACAAAAAAGCGGTCAAAGCTTTTTTAAAAAAATCAATTTTTAAATGTACTTTATCTTTGCAACTTTACAAGATGCAGCAAAAGGTTTCTGCTAGATTAATCAAATTAATAAACATCCAAGTTGCTCAGAGAGTTGTTAAAATACTTTTCAAAATAGCAAACAAACAGTTATGCGAAGTTTATGAGTGGCTCGTAAATAACAAAGGTTCACTAAATCAGTATAAAACAAAAAATATACATTAAGTAAGTAAATCTGAAATATTTCTCGTAACTTGCCAAACTTTTTTTTTAATATTTTTACTTCCAACGAGGCTGCAAGCAACAACTATTAGAGTTGGAAGTTATTGGTAGAGAAAAGATGAAGTTTATAAAGCAAGATAACGATTAACAGACCACTTTAATGATTTTAATAAGAAATTTTAAAGCACTTAGGAACAATCAAAGTAAAAGAATGAGAATTGAATAACAAGTAATACAAAAATGAATTTTATTAGATAGCACAGGAGACGCGTTTTTTCACTTTATCTAAAAGAGAAAGGACATCATAAAAAGATCCGCCCTAGATACGGCAACAGTGTTCCATATAAGGACGGCTTTGAGATTTATAAAGATCTAGAATAGAGTCCGGAGTAAGATAGAGGCAAGTACAATAAAGAGATGCAACCTTAGCAAATGCAAATTTTGTAACGAATTAGGTATATGGTTTCCAAGAAAGATCGGGAGTAAGAGTTAATCCTCGAAGACGAAGAGTAGATGACTCATCGAGTACATTATCGCTCATAAATATAGAAAGATCTAGACTGTTGCAACAACAATTGCAACAGTCTAGATCTTTCAAGATGCCAAGTATAGAACATTAAGGAACCCCTGACGTTATAATAAATAAAGAATAGTGATGTCCATCAAGGGTAACTTTTAAACTACGATTGGTAAAGGGATTTTGGAAGGATTGGAAGGATTGGAAGGATTTTTGGAAAGATTAGAAGGATTGGAAGGATTCAATAGTCTCAAATAAGTTACCTGATACACCGTAAAAAAAGAGCTTATGGAGAAGACCAGCATGCCAAACTTTATTGAATGCTTTAGAAATATCAAGAGCAATAGATGTAACCTCTCTACATATATCTACTGCACGATAAAATCTATCGGATATCACCGTTAGTAAATCAACAGAAGAACGAGAAGATCGAAACCCATATGTTGATCAGAAATTAAATCATCAGATTCAAGATGAAAGATTAAGTGTTTGTTAATTAACGAGTCAATAATCTTGATTGTTTTAAAAAGAAAACTAATGAGGTGGTAGTTAGACTAGTCAGATTGCTCTTCGGGATCTTATTGTTAATAGAGTTGAAAAAAATTCCTGCTTTCTAGCAGGCTGTAAAGCAAGACTTTAGTAAGCACTTGTTAAATAGTTTTTAAAGTATTGACGACAGCTCTAGAGATGACTTCTGAAAGACTGTAATAGGTATATAATCCGGACCAAAAGCTATATAAGAGTGGAAGCAGGACATGACTTTAGATATAGAAACTGGAGTGATACGAATGTCAAGCAATGGATCAACCAGTTTGTCGGCTATATCAGGTAGAATGTAATGAACAGAATCAAGAGATAATATTGATAAAAAGTTCAATGCAAACAATTTAGCTTTTTCTTTAGGTCAGGTAACCAAATCTGAACGTGCATTACTATGTACTTCTAAACGTCGAACTTAATAAGCCATTTATTTGACTAATTTACAGCGGCTTCAATGCCTAATTGCAGTTTTTTATAATCAGAGGGAGATCAAATGCTATCAGTTACTCCCATGAACTCTTATTATCAGCGTACATTTTAGTATGATTACTCATACAGTCTTGTAAACCATTAACGAAGAAACGAAGAATACAAATAAAATTGGTCCAAGAACTAACAATTGAGAAAATTTACTTATCATTATTTTTTCATTTGTTTTTCAATGACTACTCGATATTGTCTATTTCCTAGCCATGCAGTGATCCAGTTTAATAGCTGGCCCTGAATGTCATTGACTTGAGACTTATGAAAAAGTTGTTTGTTTGGCACTGTGTTAAATTGCAAAGTCATGAAAAATTATGTTAATGAGGTATCCACGTTTTTGAATAAAATAGTCAACTTTTGACTATTTTATTTCAAAAAGTCATTTTAAAGTTTGGCAAAAAATCATATAAAAACCCACTTTGATTTTAAATTTTTAAGTTTTTGCACATAAACAATATTTAAATTTTTTGTTAATTGAAAAACAAAACGTCAAAATGTTTTTCTTTCCTTCTGGCGGCCATTATGGCTATCCAAAATTCATTCTGGAGGCGGCTATTATGGCTTCCACCTCTTTAATGGCGTCCACATTTAAAACATCTAGTCTCCGAAAAAAAAATTGCGGAGGCAGAATCCATTAAAGGCAGATATCAGAACTTATCGCTGCTAAAATATATTTCGGAAGCAACCGCCAATTGCTGTGGAAGGAAAGTGGAGGCGAAAATATTTCAGCCGTTTATAAAGTCTGATTTAGTAAACAGCTTTATTTATTTTAAGATCAAATTTCTCTTTCGTTTTATAATTTAATTTTGCCTGTGTCGGAGACATTCCTCCAAAAATTTATCTATCAGTTTATTAAAATATTTGTATTTTTTATATTTATTTTATATAACATATAGTATTTGTAGTATTACAATACAAAAAAAAAATCTTCTATTTTTAATTATTGTATTATTTATTGTATTATTTATTGTACCTTCTTGAAATTTTGCATCTTGTGATTGCTGATCATTTTCTAAGTCTTCAAAATCTTCAAGTTGAATTTTAACATCGTTCAAAATATCTTGCTTTAAACTGTAATCATCTATTAAAGAAAGTTTTTTTAATATAAAATTTTGAAGTACTAATTAGGTAATTAAAATTAAAATGATTTATTTTTAATGAATTTAAAAAGAAATGATTCAAAGTTTCGCACATTTTGCAGTCACTGTTAATATTAATGTCAACATCAGAATCAAACACATTTTCTTATAATATTATTATAAATTTTTCTTTTCAGAAAAATGTGTAATAACAAATCTTTTCTTTATATAACTCGAAAGTGAAATTACAAAAAGTCACTGCTAACGCCAATAATCTTAAACCAACATTGACGAAATTTCATTATGATTACTTACATAGTTACTTATAAACTGTCTGTTGAAAAAAGTCTGTCTATTTGCAGATTTGATCACAATAGGTTTATTCGCTATAATTATTATACCAATATTATTATTATTATATAACTGTTGTAATAAATAATTAATAACAAATAAAAGTTTATCATTTTATTAAGAATCATAAAATCATAAAGTATAAAATAACTTTGTTATTTTATACTTTATGTTTCTGAGGCAAGTGCGCTACCACTGCGCCACGGCGGCTTGATTTGAAAGCTGTCATATCATGGCTGCACTATTTGAAAGTTATCTAGAAAATCTACGCTTTGAGAACAGTGATTTAAAAGATTGGAAATGCTTTGCTTCTGAGCATGAGATGCCGTACAAGGTACTTAACTCCAAAACTCTGTTTTTTCTGAAACATCTGAAACAAAACAACAAATGCTCTGATTAATTTTGAAGAGGGAATTTCAGCGTTTTAAATCATCAAGTTTACACATTGGAGAAACGAAAAAGCTACCTGAACAGGTTTTCTAGAAAAAATTTCTCTTGATATGTTAATATTTCATATTAACTTATCAACGGCAAGTATATAAGGATTGCTAAATAACTTAGCCAACATTGAGGTATGGGTAACGTATGGGCCTATATGGGTTGTCAACTAGAACCCAACGGGGTTTTTTTCGCCAGTATCCATATGGGTCCCAACTAAACGCCGCGTTTAAAAACTGTACGAAACCTATATGGGTTTGCTACTGGGACCCATATGAAAGCCCTCTCGAATCCCTTTCTATTTTGGCCGCGGTTTCCATTTGGAACCATAAGGTCCAACCCGCTAAGTAACCCGTATCAGTTGTAACCGTAATGTTCTTATCGCAGTATCTCATATAAAATTCTTGGAGTTTCTAAACTCTCCTTTTCAACTACACATAAAAGCCCAATCATAAAATTTCATTCTTTTATTTCAAACTAAAAAAGCATTAAATCAATCAGCATTAGCTTGAAAGTCAACTTAATCAGCTTAATCAGCTAATCAAATAATCAGCTTAATCATCCAATCAAATAATCAGCTTAATTAGCCTATAAAAAAGACTATTGAAAGTGTAAATTAAAAAATTATTTTCTGATTTTAAAATCTCTCTATTTGTTTAATTAGTTTAAATAAAGTATTGCAAGTCATACCTTTTATTATATGCTGTCAGTAGCGTTACAAAGGGGGGTCTAATGAGGGTATGGCTCCGTGTGCAAGTAGTTTAGAGAGTGCCAAAAATATATTAGGAGAGAAAAAAATGTCTCTTAATATAAAGATATATAATTATTATAAGCAGCTCTTTGCGACCAACATTATAATGGATTAGATATAATTTGACTTGCTATTAGGTCCAACTGCACCTGCAACAATTCTATTTAATTTCCTAGATGCTAGATACTGTGGTATCTCTGCATCAAAAAGCTGCATCAATAATCAAAGCATTGTTTAATTATTTTGACAGGAATCTCTTCTTAATATAGCGTCAGGATGTGCTTTAGGTACCGGGGAATTATTGATGTTTGGTATTTGATTGTTTTCAACTGTTTGTGCTGCCCATTCTTTCATTTTCTAATAAATAATTTTTATTTCTTTAGGTCCAATACCTATACCATTTTTGGTATAGGTATTGGACCTAAAGAAATAAAATAGATCAAGTTAGATCAAGTACGATCAATTGAACAACACAAAATTTGCTGAAAGAATTGCATTATCTTCTTCTTCAATCATTCAATTTTGTCTAACAGATGATATTATTAATAACATACAGCTAATAGTAACATACTTTTGACCTTCCAAAAAATTTTGAGCCTGCTTAAAAAGAGTGCTTCAATACCATCTTCTTTTTATTGGTTAGACTGGTTGTTATTCTTTCATGGATATCTTGATTTGTTGTAATATATATTCTCAAATTGAGACGTTGTTCAACTCTAGAATAAGTTGACTATGATCGAGTTAGTATCCCAAACTCTGTGTTTAATTCTTTGGGGATAAAGAGTTACAACTGAAACAAAACAACAGGTTTTGCAAGCTCTGATTGAGTTTGAAGAGCTAAACGGAATTTCAGCTTTATTTATCATCTTGAATTACAGTGACAGCTTTCTTTCTTGGTGGTATATTAGTTTATAAATTTTTAAATAAATCATTTAACTAACTTGATGCTACAAAACAATATACTTTGATGCTATAAACTGCATGTCAAAGTTTTTAAATAATACTGGGCCTAGCCCGTAAGGATTAGTGTTAGGGTCATCAAGCACAGCTATTTTTCAAATTACGATTAATGTCACCGCGCAAGAAGATGTTTGTCTCTGAAATACGCCTGGGCTAGTCTTTAGAATTAGAAGTCAGTTATAAATCCACGCATAGGTGTTAAATCCATCATGGTTTTCTAAAGTATGACTGGCCTGGCTTGATGTAGTTCAGAGATAAATTTTTGACGCTGCTCACTAACAAGACTCTACAGAAGACAATTAAAAATCTTTGACCTTATCCCAAATACATGTTACAGTTTACATCGTATAAGGATCTTTGGACCAGATTTTAAGATCCTTTCATACTAAAGATTTTTTTGAAGATTGATCAATTATTGATCCTTTATTTTTTGCTTTCTTTTCTCTAACTTCTCTGCACTCTTCTTCATCGTCATTAACATTTTCCAATTTTTGAGTAAATTCATTGACATATATTACTAAAAAAATAAGTTTATCACAATTTATCACTAATTATAATTAATATAATTTTTATTCATTTCTTTTTAACCATAATATTAAAAATTATCCATTTGAATATAATTTATAAAGTTAGGTTCGGAATTAAATAAATATAAAATTAGTTGTAATTCATATAGGTGAAAACTAGTCAATAGAGTGACTCTTTACCAAGATAAACAAATAAAACAAACAGCCTTTTTATTATATATTACAATTGTTAAAATATTTAATACGATTAGTTTAGCATTTCAGCTTATATTTACATTCATTTGAGAATTTCTCCGTGCAGAGTTGAACTCCAAAATAATTATAGTTTTGCATTCGTTATTTTTAGATACTTAAAACTTTAATTTCAAATTATTTGAAATTATTGTGCAGCAATCTTTAGAATCATGAAATTAATTTATTTTTTAAACAAATCTCTAAAAATCCTAGCAAATTAAAAGAAAATTTGAATCCATTTAGGGTCTCCCAAAATTTGTGAGTCCAAGACCATACCCTAGTTGCCCAATAGATAAATCTAGCCCTGACAGCAATATATACAAACAGTAAAATTTTTTGAAAAACTCGTTTTAAAATTTTTTTATATATATGTTTAAATTGTGTCATTATTTTAGATTTTTATTGAATAATTTCTCACATGAAGGGTTGGAAAAAAAACATTTTTTCTGAAAAAAACAAGCCCAAAACGTGGGTTTTTTAAAAAACTTAAAAAAACCATGGTTTTTTTTAAAAAACTTAAAAAACCATGTTTTTTTTTAAAAAACTTAAAAAAACCATGGTTTTTTTTTAAAATAAGCTGTGTTTAATCAAATTTTTCAATTAAAAAAAGTATTTTGCACTTAAGTAACTTGTTTTTTTTATCAGTATTACTGATATAATTCATCGGCGGAGATGTACTTGATTCACGTGTGAATAAAACGATGATTTATTTTTAATTGAAATCAACTAACATACCACCCTATAATCTATTTGTTAACATATCCCTGCTTTACTTCCTGATGTAAATTAAAAGTTGTTTAAAAGATATTATTTTGGTTTGAATTAATATTTTTTCAAATAGTTTAAGCCATTGGTTTAAATCATTTAGTTTTAGTCTATTATATAACATAATTATGGAGTAAATTCTCCACGGATACTATCAATCTCTCTTTGCTATCAAGCTAATTATATTGACTCAATCAGCTTCAGCTTTAATCTCTCTTAGCTATCAAGCTAATTATATTGACTCAATCAGCTCCAGCTTTAATCTGAAGCTAAACAGTTTAAAGCTGAAACTGAAATATCAGCTGTAATCCCTACTTTACAGATAACATAGTGGTTTTAATGTCTATATTTTATCATAATCAGACCTTCCAACACTCCAATATGGTTTCCCAAAAATATGTTTTTTCGAAAATCAAAATGTGGAAATTAATCGTTATCATTATGTATTAGTAGCTTATAGTAAAAATTTCAGCCTTTCAAATCAACTCTAACGTAAAGAAGGTGATTTTAGTCAATTTTTAAATAATCCTGAATTATTTTCCTTATATTTTAAAGTTCCGAATATAGATAGTTTTAAATTTAAAACACAAAACACTGTTTTTGATTTAAAATAAATCTAATAGAATAAAATACAGATCTTGTGTGACAATTTAATTTCAGGTAATTGTTCTAAATAGAGTTGAAAAACAACAAAAGCGTAATGACAATTGTAATACTTGTTAGATATTCTGCAGGTACTTCTTTGTAACTTTCTTGGATATTTGCTGTCTGTTTTTATGGACAATCTAGAAAATAATAAATAAAATTAAAAAGGCACGTTATTTTATAAAATAATTAAATAATCCAACCAATAAAATTTGAAAATGATAATTTAGTTTATTAAATAAAATGATATAGAAATACTTTAAAAAGTTTTGCAGACATTGTATAACATGCGCGTAAATTGGGTGGGTTAAAGGGTTGTTAGGTGTAAATTGTTAGGAGCAATTGACTTCCTTTTTTTGTTATTAAAAATGACCATGATATATGTTTGCTATTCTAAATTGCCTAATTTTTCAAAAAAGACCCCCTCCCTCTAACAGTTTACACGCTACAGGTCTGTATAATAATGTTTAGTAATCATCTAATGAGTATCCTGAAGTCTATCCTCGTTATGTGTTCTTCTAATAAAGTCTTGGATCAGCTTTATTGACGTTCTGCCCGAATATTTACCACTGCAAGCTGATTTGCACATGCAGAGAACTTGACTTAGGGGTTC